AGTGGACACAGCTGTGAGTGAGTGAGGAGGTGGACGGATCCACAGGAAGTGCGTTGAGGATGTGGACGGAGTGGAGGTGAGTGAGGAGTGGACGGATGTGGAGTGACGTGAGGAGTGGACGAGCGGGTGGACGGAGTCGGACACAGTGGAGTGAGTGGACGGAGTGGAGGGATTGGACGGAGGTGGAACACAGTGGACGTGAGGGAGTGGACGGAGTGGATGGGAGTCGGACACTGAGTGGACGGCATCGTGAGGGACTGTGGACGGAGGTGGACGAGTGGAGCTGAGAAGTGAGGGAGGTGGATGGACGTGGACACAGCTGGAGTGAAGTTGGAGGGAGTGGACGAGCGTGGACGGGAGAGTGAGGTGAGTGAGGACTGTTTGGACGGACGGAACAGTGGTGAGTGGGGGGAGGGTGGACGGAGTGGACACAGTGGAGTGAGTGATGGGGAGGTGGACGGAGTGGACACAAGTGGAGTGAGTGATCCGAGTGAGGGATGTGGACGAGTGGATGCCCAGTTGAGGGTGAACTGCTTTGCTTCATGTGGCTCACCAGCGTTGCTTCATTTAATTTCACATACTTTTGTTAGTCACTTCAACTCTTTTGGGAACATGATAAGCTATAAAAAACCAAGCACGCACCCCATCTGGAGGGTGGCTGTTAACGCCATCACACAGATCATCCAGGGGTGACTCATGCGGTGCCCGCCGCACCTGACCGCTTTCTCCCCATATGCAGGCCCCCCAGTTAGCGCTCAGAACAGCACATGAGAGACCAACGCGGGAAGCCCACTCCCCATCAGGCACCGGGCTCAGACCAGGCACGCAGGGAGAATTCTGAGAACAACTGAAAATGGATGGTGAGGGGTCCTGGGCCTGTCTGAGGACATCTGGGCCTCCTGTGAGGAGACGGGGACATATGAGGAGACCTGGGGACCGTGTGAGGAGACGGGGACACTTGAGGAGACCTGGGCATGTCTGAGGACATCTGGGTCACATGTGAGGAGATGGGCACACGTGTGAGGAGACGGGGACAAGTGTGAGAAGATGGGAGATGGGGACACGTGAGGAGACCTGGGGGGCATGTGAGGTGACTCGGGGGGCATGTGAGGTGACCCGGGGGGGCGTGTGGAGTGAGCTGTGGAACTTGTGGGGTGACCTGGGGCATGTGGGGTGACCTGGGGATGTGTGAGGTGGCCTCGGGCATGTGCAAGATGACCTGGGGTGACCTGAGGCAGTGGGAGCAGGATTCCCTGGACTCTGGGGCTGGACATTGCCCTCCTTGGTGCAGGACAGTACCTGAGTCACAGGACTCCTGGAGCCGCGGTGGCTTTTTAAGCCGCTCTTCTTCACCATAGAACACCTGTTTCTTGGCCTTCCCAGCAGCCACGCTGGCTACAGACACGAGAGGGATGGCCTGGCTCTCCTGGGACACAAGAAGGAAGTTCAGAGCCACCCCAGGAACACCCCACACCCGCTGACAGGTGTCGGCCCCTCAAAGGAGTGACAAGTGTGGGCCTCTCAAGGCAAAGTTTATGCTGCATTTCAGGCGATGGGCAATCCAGTTATTCACAAAAAGGACAGGTCTGTTTAAGGCAACCAACCAAGCTCAGCCTGCTTTTACCCTAGGCCCTGCCTCAAACACTTTATCAAGTCAACATAATGCCCCAAATTGTCAGAACCTTAATACTCTTCATTAAAACAAAAAATAATGTAGAAAACAAAAAGATATGGCCGGGCGCGGTGGCTCAAGCCTGTAATCCCAGCACTTTGGGAGGCCGAGGCGGGTGGATCACGAGGTCAGGAGATCGAGACCATCTGGCTAACATGGTGAAACCCCCGTCTAATACTAAAAATGACAAAACAACTGAGCCGGCGCCGTGGTGGCGGGCGGCCTGTACAGGTCCCCAGCTACCTCGGAGGCTGAAGGCAAGGAGAATGGCGTTGAACCCGGGCAGGTGGAGCTGCAGTGAGCCGAGATTGCGCCACTGCACTCCAGCCTGGGCGACAACAAGGCGAGACTCCGTCTAAAAAAAAAAAAAAAAAAAAAAAGAAACAAAAAGATATTCCCTTAATGTCAACAACTGAAGATGACAAGCCCTAAAATGTCATCAGAATTAGAATTTCCAACTGAAATGTGCAGATTGAAAACTAATGCGTGCTGGGCCATTTACTAACCGAGCTCTACCTGCCCGTGACTGAAGAGAGCCCTCCGCGCATCAGGGTACTGTTTCGGGCAGCGGGGATGGAGCAGGGCATGAAACCCTGGTCTCACTCAGTTCCCACGGGAGCTCAGCTAGGTGGGGACCGTCCCACACCCCGGCCAAGTGCCTCCCAGGGTCACACTGACAGGAGGAGGGAGAGCCGGGGTTCACAGTCTCATGCCCTTGACAATACGCTGTGCCCTCCAAACAAGTCAGCTCCGCCCCGCAAGGTTCAGACAGGAGGAGCAGTCAAGGGCAATACACAAGGAGTGCTGGCCGTAGGGACCCCACGGGACGGGTATGGAGAGGTGGCAGCCTCCGCTGGACCCGGCCGTAGACCCCCCACGGGACGGCGTACTGGAGAGGGGCGCCTCCGCTGGCACGGCCGTAGGGACCCCACGGACCGGGAATGGAGAGGGGCAGCCTCCGCTGGACAGGCCGAGGGACCCACGGGACGGGAATGGAGAGGGGCAGCCTCGCTGGACACGGCCGTAGGGACCCACGGACGGTATTGGAGAGGGGCAGCCTCCGCGTGGACACGGCCGTAGGACCCACGGGAGGTATGGAGAGGGGCAGCCTCCGCTGGACACGGCCGTGGACCCCACGGGACGGGATGGAGAGGGGCAGCCTCCGCTGGACCACGGCCGTAGGGACCCACGGACGGTATGGAGAGGGGGCAGCCTCCGCTGGACACGGCCGTAGGGACCCCACGGGACGGGAATGGAGAGGGGCACCTCCGCTGGACTCGGCCGTAGGACCCACGGGACGGGGTATGGGAGAGGGGCAGCCTCCGCTGGACACGGCCGTAGGGACCCACGGACGGGAATGGAGAGGGGCAGCCTCCGCTGGACACGGCCGTAGGGACCCCACGGGACGGGTATGGAGAGGGGCGCCTCCGCTGGACACGGCCGCAGGGACCCACGGGACGGGTATGGAGAGGGCAGCCCTCCGCTGGACACGGCCGTAGGGACCCCACGGGACGGGTATGGAGAGGGCAGCCTCCGGCTGGACACGGCCCGTAGGGATCCCACGGACGGTATGGAGAGGGGCAGCCTCCGGTGACACGGCCGTAAGGACCCCACGGGACGGGTATTGTGAGAGGGGCAGCCTCCGCTGGACACGGCCGTAGGGACCCAGGGGACGGTATGGAGAAGGGGCAGCTCTCGCTGGACACGGCCGTAGGGACCCCCACGGGACGGTTAATGGAGAGGGGCGGAGCCTCCGCTGGACACGGGCCGTAGGGACCCCACGGCGGGAATGGGGAGGGGCAGCCTCCGCTGGACACGCCGTAGGGGACCCGTACGGGTAGATGGAGAAGCCGAACAGCGCAGCCTCGCTGGAACACGGCCCGTAGGGACCCCACGGGAGTGAATTGGAAGAGGCGGCAGCCTCCGCTGGACACGGCCGTAGGGACCCCACCGGGACGGGATGGAGCAGGGGCCAGGCCTCCGCTGGACACGGCCGTAGGGACCCCACGGGACGGGTATGGAGAGGGGCAGCCTCCGCTGGACACGGCCGTAGGGACCCCACGGGACGGGTATGGAGAGGTGCAGCCTCCGCTGGACATGGCTGTAGGGACCCCACGGGACGGGTATGGAGAGGTGCCGCCTCCACTGGACATGGCTGTAGGGACCCCACAAGATGGGAATGGGGAGGGGCAGCCTCTCCTGGACATGGCTGTAGGGACCCCACGGGACAGGCATGGGGAGGGGCAGCCTCTCCTGGACATGGCTGTAGGGACGCCACGGGACGGGTATGGAGAGGGGCAGCCTCTCCTGGACAGGGCCGTTGGCTCGGTATGCAGCCTGCAGGGCCAGAAAGGGAATGAGCATGTGTGTGCTGCCAATGTCCTACAGAACACAGGTGACCAAAGGAAGACTCATCACAGACTCCTGAACCGGAGCTGCAGAGGCACCAGGCAGCTGTTCACAGCCGTGTGGGCCTCCAGAGGGACAACTCCAGCATTGGAGAAGGAATTCCACCTTTCCCAAGTCTCAACGGACCAGAGATTTTGGAACACAAGGCCCCAGGAGAATCAAGCCTCCAAATCAACTGGCAAGTGCTTTAAGGTAGGAAAATACACACAGCCCAAGCATCACCTCCCGAAGTCCTAACGACCAGCAACCAGGATGACCACAGCTGTAGCTGGCACTGCCCCACCAGGCACTGGGCGCCTGCTGCGCCAGCTAACAACTGTCCCGACGCCAGCTGCCCAGAGCAACATGGGGCTTGTGAGCTGATTTCCACTTACAGGGTTGAAGAGCTCTGTGGTCAGGCCGAGGTAGTTGTGCAGAGCCAGGAAGGTCACTCTCTGCAGCCGCAGCATGATGATCTGCAACAAGATGCCAGCTGTGCAGTGATCCCTTGCCCGGGCACAGGGCAGCCCCGCAGCACCACACAGAGCAGTGAGAACCGTGCCCCAAACCCGGCGGTGAGCCCCGGACCAGGCGTAGGGCGGCCCCGCAGCACCACACAGAGCGCTGAGAACCGTGCCCCAAACCCGGCGGTGAGCCCCGGCCCGGGCGCAGGGCGGCCCCGCAGCACCACACAGAGCGCTGAGAACCGTGCCCCAAACCCAGCAGACAGCACAGACCGAACCCCCTCAGGGTGAAACACCCGGCAGTGTTGACACCTCACCACGGTCACATCACGGGGAAGGGAGTGAGGGGTGAAGGAAGACTGCATTGTTTTTGCAAGTTTTCTATAAAACTAAAAGTTACTCCAAAGTGAGAAGTTTAATGAAAACGTAAAAATCTCTTTGAGGGGTAGTGAAGGATCTTAAGACCTCTTTGAGGTTGTGAATATTCATTTTTATTGTAAGATATACATGGCTTTTTTTTTTTTTTCAGATGGAGTCTCGCTCTGTCACCCAGGCTGGAGTGCCATGGAGCCATCTCTCTCGGCTCACTGCAGGCTCCGCCTCCCGGGTTCCCGCCATTCTCCTGCCTCAGCCTCCCCAGTAGCTGGGACTACAGGCGCCCACCACCACGCCTGGCTGATCTTTTGTGTTTTTAGTAGAGACGGGGTTTCACCGTGTTAGCCAGGATGGTCTCGATCTCCTGACCTCGTGATCCGCCCGTCTCGGCCTCCCAAAGTGCTGGGATTACAGGCTTGAGCCACCGCGCCCGGCCGCCTGGCCTACAAATTTTTAAAATATAACCTTAGTTCTTCCCAAACCCGCTCAGAATCCCACATCACCAGCGGTAAGTCCCGCCAATGAAGTCAATTTCTCTATTCCTATGAAATCACCTTCATGGTTGTAAAGCTTAGAACTGAGAAAGTAAATGGGCAATAAACCCACTCAAATCCCAAACCGGTGCCCAGGTGCCCCCCAGGATGACCCACTGCAGCCAGAAGAGTTGTCTGAAAAAGTGACTCACCTGCACCACCCTCACCAGAGTTTCTGGATATTTCTCAAAAACTCCGTGAAAAGCCGCAGCTGGAAGCCGGAGGATGGTGGACGGGACGGCCGCGCGGGCGGAGACCGTTTTGTAAGGTGCAGTGTGGCCCTGTAACAACAGCTCCATCAGTCCCTGCTGTGCGGGCCCGGCCGAGCCCCCCATGGACTGCGAAGGCTGCTGGAAGCCCTGGAGGAGGCCCTGTCTGCTGCCCAGTCACACGGCTCCATTCTCCTTCCCAGGCTGGGCCGTGCAAAGTGCTGCTTTTGGCACCAGCTGCACAAACCCAGCGGTGACCCCCGGCCCGGGTGCAGGGCGGCCCCGCAGCACCACACAGAGCACTGAGAACCGTGCCCCAAACCCAGCGGTGACCACCGGCCCGGGGCACAGGGCCATTTTTGACTGTCCAAGAGATGTACGGCGGACTGGCTGACAACGGAATGTGGGTGAGGGGGAGGCCCACAGGCAGCTACCCCACCAGACCTGGGCACTCACTATGGGGAGCTCCAACCACTCCCACCTGCCACTGAGGCTCCAGTATAACTACTCTTACTCTATATATTTTGTTTATTATACTGGAAGAGCTTGTGCCCTCGGTCTGTTGCCTCGGCACCTGGGTGGCTTGCCAACACACAGAGGATGGCGCATGGAGGATGGCGCAGCTCAGGGACGCGGGAGCCTCATGGTTGGACCTCACTCTGTGGGTCTCTTCTTTTGACTGTTTTGACTGATCCAGATTTTCATCCTTTTTTTTTTTAACCGAGTCTCGCTCTGCGAGTGGCAGTGGCACAATTTGCGCTCACTGCAAGCTCTGCCTCCCGGTTTACCCATCTCTGCTGCTTCAAGCCTCCGACGTAGCTGGGACTCACACCAGCGCACCCGCCACACACGCCCGCTAGTTTTTTTTGATATTTTTTAGTAGAGAACGGGGTTTACTGGTTAGCCACCAGGATGCTCTCGATCGCCTGACCCTCGTTATCTGCCCGCCTCGGCCTCCCACAGTGCTGGGATTACAGGCCGTGAGCCACGCGCCCGGCCAATCTTCATCCTTTGCAGTACAAATGTTGAGTGTTCTAGAATACTGAATCTGAGGGGCTCACCGGAATCGCCTGAACCTTGTAACCAGTTGGTCAGAAGTGTGGGGTGGCCTGGGAACTCTCCAAGTTCCAGTTTTGGGATGCTATTATAAATCTGTGGCCGGATGCGCCGGTGGCTCACGCCTGTAATCCCAGCACTTGGAGGCATGACGGGCGGCATCACGAGTCAGGAGATCGAGACATCCTGGCCTAACACGGTGAAACCCCGTCTCTACTAAAAAATACAAAAACTTAGCTGGGTGAGGTGACCGCGGCCTGTAGTTCCCAGCTACTCGGGAGGCTGAGGCAGGAGAACGGCGTAAACCCAGGAGGCAGAGCTTGCAGTGAGCTGAGATCCGGCCACTGCACTCCAGCCTGGGCAACAGAGCAAGACTTCGTCTCAAAATAAACAAACAAATAAATAAATAAATAAATAACAAAAATAAATCTGTTACTTTTAAATTTCAATTTCCAATTGTTCATTGCTAATATAGAGAAATACAGTTTATTTTTGTATGTTGATAAACTCATTCATAAGTTCTAGTAGTTGTCTTATAGATTCCTTGGGATTTCCAATCTAGATAATCATGTTTGTGAATCGAGACTGTTTCATTTTTTCTTTGCCCATCTGCATGCTTTTTCTTTCTTTCTCTTCCCCTCCTGCTCTGGTGAGGACCTCCAACACGATGCTGAACAGGATTGGTAACAACACACACTTGGCCAGGCGCGGTGGCTCACGCCTGTAATCCCAGTACTTTGGGAGGCCAAGGAGGGTGAATCACGAGGTCAGGAGATCGAGACCATCCTGGCTAACATGGTGAAACCCCGTCTCTACTAAAAATACAAAAAAAATTAGCTGAGCGTGGTGGCGGGCGCCTGTAGTCCCAGCTACTCGGGAGGCTGAGGCAGGAGAACGGCGTAAACCCAGGAGGCGGAGGTTGCAGTTAGCTGAGATCCGGCCACTGCACTCCAGCCTGGGCAACAGAGCAAGACTCTGTCTCAAAAAAAAAAAAAAAAAAAAAGACACACACACACACATACACACACTCTCTGGCTTGTTCCCAATCTTCAAGGGAAAATATTCAGTCTTTTGCCAACAAGCAAGATGTTTGCTTTCATTTTTTAGTACAGATGTCCTTTATTTGATTTAGGAAGTTCTCTTCTCCTGGTTGCTGAGAGTTTTTATCATGAACAGATGCTGAATTTTGTCAAATGCTTTTTCTGCATTTATTAAGATAATCAGATGGCTTTTCTTCTTTAGTCTGTCAATATGGAAAAGTACATCAACTGATTTTCAACTGTTGAAACAGCTTTGCATTCCTGGAATAAATCCCACCGATCATGATGTATTATCCTTTTCCATATCCTGCTGGACTCAAATCTGTAATATTTCATGGAGGATATGTATGTTTCCAATGATGAGTGACTGGTGTGAAATTTTCCTGTCTTGTAACGTCTTCGTCTGATTAGGTGTTCGGGTCTTGCTCGCCTCAAAAACTAAACTGGGAAATAGCCCCTCTTCTACTTTTCCGGAGAAGTTTGTGTGAAATTAGCATATTTTATCCTTAACGTCCTAAATCTCGGGAAGTATTCCCCAGTGAAGTCATCTAAATCCGGAGTTTTCCAGGTGGGAAGGATTTTAGCTACTAATTGGATTTCTTTAGTAGATATACGGCTATTCAGATAATCTACATCTGAGGGAACTTTGGTAGTTTGTGTCTTTCAAGGAATTTGTCGATTTAATCTGCGTGGTTGGTTTCATGGGCATAAAGTTGTTCAAAAGATTTCCTTGTTAGTCCTTCTATGTCTGTAGGGTCTGTAGACATGTGCACTCTTTCATGTCTAATATTTGTAGTTTGTGTCTTCTCTTCTTTTCTACACTGGTCTGGCTACAGGACTTTTCATTTTACTGACATTTTCCAAGAGCCAGCTTTTGGTTTCATGGATTTTCTCTCCTGTTTTTCCATTTCCAGTCTCACTGATTCTTACTCTTTATGAGTTTCTTCCATCTGCATGCTTTGGGTTTCGTTTGTTTTTCTTTTCCTAGTTTCTTAAGATACAAGCTTGGGTCACTGATCTGAGATTTGTTTTATCTTCTAATACCAGCATTGCCCAGGCTAGAGTGCCATGGCACAGTCTTGGCTCACTGCAACCTCTGCCTCCTGGGTTCAAGTGATTTCCAGATCATTTTTGTATTTTTAGTAGAGATGGGTTTTCACCATGTTGGTCAGGCTGGTCTCGAACTCCTGACCTCAAGTAATGTACCCACCTCGGCCTCCCAAAGTGCCGGGATTAAAGGCGTGAGCCACCACGCCTGGCCGTGTTGTTCCTTTTTATCCCTGCTAATATTCCTTCGTCACATCTGACATCGACTTTGTCTGATACTAATACAGCCACTCCAGTTTTCTTTTAATTGGGGCTTTCATGGTATATCTTCTTCCAGCCTTTATTTTTTTTGAGACAGAGTCTCGCTCTGTCGCCCAGGCTGGAATGCAGTGGTGCGATCTTGGATCACTGCAAGCTCCGCCTCCCGGGTTCCCGCCATTCTCCTGCCTCAGCCTCCCGAGTAGCTGGGACTACAGGGGCCCGCCACCGCGCCTGGCTAGTTTTTATTTTTTTGTATTTTTAGTAGAGATGGGGTTTCACCGTGTTAGCCAGGATGGTCTCGATCTCCTGACCTCGTGATCTGCCCACCTCCCAAAGTGCTGGGATTACAGGCGTGAGCCACCATGCCCGGCCTCTTTTTTTTTTTTTTTTTGAGGACGTGTCTTGCTCCTCTGTCACCTGAGCTATAGTAAAGTAGCTCACGCACAGCTCACTCCAGCCTCAACTTCCCAGGCTCAAGCAGTCCTCCCACTTCAGCCTGCTGAGTAGCCGGGAGCACAGGTGTGCAGCACCACACTAACCTAATTTTAAATTTTCTGTAGAGATGGGGACACTGTGTTGCCCAGATTGGTCTCGAACTCCTGTGCTCAAGCGATCCTCCCACCCGAGCCTCCCACAGTGCTAGGATTACAGGTGTGAGTCACTTCGCCAGGCAACCTTTTGTTTTCCATCTAAGTATTGATATTTAAAGTGGGTTTTTCCTGCAGACACCATAAGGTTGGGTCCTGGACTTTCCATCCAATCTGACAATCTGCCTTGTTGTTGTATTTAGACCAGTTGTATCCATTGTGATCATTTATAATGGCTGGATTTAGGATATAATTTTCCGGAGAATGTTGCCTTCTTTGTTTTAGCAGGTGATTAAGCTGGCTGGGTTCAGACCACAAGTGTGTATCTGTGGATGGTGGATTCCAGTATCTCTGTTTTCAAAGCCTTGGTTCTGATGCTTTGCTGTGCCCTGCACATGCCCTACTCAGGAGTCAGTCTGAGATTTGAGCTGAAGTTCGAATCTTTTTTTTGTTTTTTGAGACGGAGTTTCACTCTGCCACCCAGGCTGGAGTGCAATGGTGCCATCTCGGCTCACTGCAACCTCCACCTCCCAGGTTGAAGTGATTCTCCTGCCTCGGCCTCCCGAGTAGCTGGGATTACAGGCACTCACCACAACACTTGGCTACATTTTTGTATTTTTAGTAGAGACGGGGTTTCACCATGTTGACCAGGCTGGTGTAGATCTCCTGACCTCATGTGATCCACCTGCCTCGGCCTCCCAGAGTGCTGGGATTACAGGTGTGAGCCAGCACACTAGCCTGAAGTTTGAGTATTTTTTTTTCCCCCTGAGACAGAGTCTTGCTCTGTTGCCCAGGCTGGAGTGCAGCAGCATGATCTCGGCTCACTGCAACTTCCGCCTCCCAGGTTCAAGTGATTCTTCTGCCTCAGCCTCCCGAGTAGATGGGACTACAGGCGCCTGCCACCATGCCCGGCTAATTTTTTGTATCTTTAGTAGAGACGGGGTTTAACCATGTTGGCCAGGATGGTCTCGATCTCTTGACCTTGTGATCTGCCCGCCTCGGCCTCCCAAAGTGCTGGGATTACAGGCGTGAGCCACCGCACCCGGCCTTGAAGTTTGAATCTTAATGCAGTTTCAAAGTC